GAAGCCCGACCCTTTTCGAACCCAGCGTGTATCCAGTATAGCCTCTGGTACCGCTATTACCTCACCTTCATCATTCGTTGGTGGTAAGTCAAATCCAACAGAGGTGTCYTCTCCCACAAATTTCTTGAGCATTGAGACGTGGAAGACAGGATGGATACGGGCACCCTCCGGCAGCTCGAGCTTGTATGCAACGCTCGCAATCTTCTCCTTCACTCGGTACGGGCCGAAATACTTGCTAGCGAGTTTGTGGTGGGCTCTTTTATAAGCAGTGTGCTGACGATATGGCTGGAGCTTAAGCAATACAAAATCGCCTTCTTGATAAACAACCTCCCTTCTCTTTGAGTCCGCTATTTGCTTCATGCGATTAATAGCCGCCTGCAGGTGAGACTTTAGTTGTTTGAGGATGTTGTCCCTTGTCTCCAATGCTTTGTCGACCTCATGGACAGGTGATGTGCCGGTTGAGTAATGCATAATTGCCGGTGGAGTCCTCCCATATAGTGCTTGGAAGGGAGTCATGCCGATTGAGCTATGGTACGTAGTGTTGTACCAGAATTCGGCCCACGGCAGGTAATTGCTCCATCTCTTCTGTTGTTGGGATACAAAGCAGCGCAAGTACTACTCCAAAGAGCAGTTGACCACTTCGGATTGTCCATCCATTTGGGGGTGGTAGGACGTACTCATATGCAGCTTGGACCATGACAGCTTGAAAAACTCACGCCAAAAATGGCTAACAAAGATGGGATCTCTATCACTGATAATAGATTTTGGCATCCCGTGAAGTTTAACCACTCCTTCTATAAATCTGACAGCAATTGTTTTGGCCGTGTGTGGGTGAGATAGAGGCAATAAATGAGCGAACTTGCTTAGGCGATCTACGACGACCATGATTGTGCTTTTCCCTTGTGAGGGTGGAAGTCCCTCCACGAAGTCCATGGTTATGTCGTCCCATACCTGACATGGAATGGGTAGTGGTTGCATGAGTCTGGCTGGGGAGAGGGTCTCTGATTTATTTTTCTAGCACACTGCACAAGCGGCGACATATTTTTGAATTGATTGGTGCATAGACGACCAATAGAACTGTTGCACCAATCGCTTGTACGTCCGCAATACCCCAGAGTGACCTCCATAGGGAGTGTCGTGGAATTCATGGAGGAGTTTTGGTACGATTGGAGACTCCGACGAAACAACTACCCTGTTCTTATAGTAGATCAGCTCGTTGCGCCAACTGTATGGAGCTCCAGGTTTGTTTGTAGCTTGTTGTATCTCTCTTGATCTCGTCCCATAGAGAGGCATGAGAAGTATATAATGTATGGAGGCTGGGACTTCCTAACCTCCTTGACAAAGCATCTGCGGCTGAGTTCTCTTTCCCCGGTTTGTACGAGATTTCATAATCATATCCTAGCAGCTTGGAAACCCATTTTTGTTGTTCAGGCGTGGTGATGCGCTGTTCCAGCAAGTACTTAAGGCTTCGTTGATCTGTTTGGATATAGAATTTGCATCCCATAAGGTATGGTCGCCATGTTTTGATTGCTTGTACGGTGGCGAGCATTTCCTTAGCATAAATGGACCAAGCCTGCTTTGCAACTCCTAAGGCTCGGCTCATATAGGCTATGGGCATTCCCTTGTTGGCTTAGGACTGCTCTGATGCCTTCCCCTGATGCATCCGTCTCTATGACAAATGGTTCGTCGAAGTTGGGCATGGCTAAGGTTGGAGTCGACGACATGGCTTGTTTTAAGGCTTCAAATGCATCTTTGGCCTCCTTGCCCCATGTGAACTGGCCTTTCTTGAGCAGATTGGTGAGAGGCAGAGCTATCATTCTGTAGTTTCTTACGAACTTCTGGTAGTAGCCTGTGAGACCTAGGAAACCACGCAGTTCAGACACATTAGTAGGTTCAGGTCATTCTATCATAGCTCTTACCTTTCCAGGATCCACGTGCACCCCTTGTACAGAGACAATGTGACCCAAGTGTTCGATCTCTTGTTGACCAAAGGCGCACTTGCGAAGTTTAACAAAAAATCGATGGTGTCCCAACACTTTGAAAACTTTTCGAACATGCATAAGATGTGTTTCCCACTCCGAGCTATAGATGAGAATGTCGTCGAAGAAAACCAGCACGAATTTTCTTAAGAATGGCCGAAAGATTGAGTTCATGAGGGATTGAAAAGTTGAGGGGGCATTGCATAATCCGAAAGGCATGACCAAGTATTCATAATGGCCATTGTGCGTGCGGAAGGCTGTCTTGTGAGTGTCAGCGGGGTGGACTCGCACCTGGTGATAACCCGATACTAGATCAAGCTTAGTAAAGTAAGTTGCTATGTATAGCTCGTCTAGCATGTCCTCCACTGTTGGGATTGGGAATCTGTCTTTGATAGTAATGGCATTGAGGGCCCGGTAATCAGTGCAGAACCGCCRCGTCCCATCTTTTTTCTTTACCAACAAGACGGGTGAAGAAAAGGGGCTGGTGCTAGTCTTGATTATTCCCATGTTGAGCATGTCTTGTACTTGTTTCTCTATCTCGGTCTTTTGAAAATGARCATACCTATAGGGTCRTACATTAACCGGCTCGGTCCCTTCTTTGAGGATGATTCGGTGGTCAATTTCTCATGAAGGAGGTAGCTGCTTTGGTTCTTGGCACACGTCCTCAAATTCTTGCAGTAATGACCACATCTCTATAGGGACCCCTTCCTTTGCAGTCATCCATAAGCACACGGCAAACAAAGAATTCCCTTGTTTTGCTTCCTTTGATATGGCTCTGAGTTTGGCAGGTTGGATCGGCTTATATTGATTCCTTCTAGGTGATGGGGGCTTCCTTCCCATGTGAAATCCATCGTCATCCTTTTCCAGTCACACATGACCGTGCCTAGCTGCTCGAGCCATTGGACYCCTAGCACCATATCTAACCCGATTAGTGGTAAAGAGTAAAGAGTTAGAGTGAATGGGGTACCTTGTAGCCACACTTTGACATTCTCGAACCTCCCTTGACATTTGAGGGGTGCACCGKTGGCCACCTTCACCTTAAAAGGTTCGGTTGGGATTGTCAGAAGTTGCAGTAGCTCCGCTACCCGATCATTAATAAAATTGTGTGTCGATCCACTGTCAATGAGCACAACTAAATCGTGGGAGCCGATTATAGCTACAACTCTCATGGTGCGAGCAGGGGACCAGCCCGTGAGAGCATGTAGCGAAATCTCAAGGCCTTCCGGTTCCTCCTCATCCTCCTCCAAGCTTCCTTCTAACAGCAGCAGTTGTGGACCCTTACACTTGTGTCCCATGACGAATTTCTTGTCACAGTTGAAGCAGAGTCCTTGTGCACGTCGTCGTTGCATCTCTTCCCACGATAACCGCTTCATCGGTAACGCTGGCTTAGGGTTGGTCGAAGTCGAACTCATCACAGTAGCCGCAGCCGCATGGAACCTAGTCACCTTCTTTTGCCGACTGATTTGTTCATCCCTCATCCTGGCTAGGCTAATGGCCTCTTTGAGTGACTTTGGTTTAAACATTCTGATCCCGTCCGCAATGTCCGTCTTGATGCCGCCCATAAACGTCCCCACCAGAGCCTTTTGAATCCAGCCACGGACTTTGTTACCTAGTCTTTCAAACTCTTGCTGGTAGTCCCGCAGAGAGCCTGTCTGTCGAATCTTGGACAAGGCTTCATCGAAATCCTCGCAGTCCGTTGGTCCAAATCGCGACCACAGCTCCTCTACAAAAACGTCCCAAGTAATTTCTCTTCTTTCTTCTTGGTAAGCTCGATACAACCACTGCCACCACTRGTCCGCTTCCCTTTCAAGATGGAAGGAGGCCAAGGGTACTTTCTTTGGCTCTGTAGTGCCTTGATACCTGAAGAATTGCTCCGCCTTATTGAGCCACTCAGTTGGATCTTCTCCCGCAAACCTGGGGAATTCCAGTCTTGCAAGTTTTGAAGAGAACATGGGGCGGTCTCCTCCTGTGTGCTCACGACCTCGGTCACTTGATGAAGATCTGCTTCGCTCAGTGACTTGGTTAAACTTAGGTTCCGGTTGTATCACAACCGCTTCCGTGAGATTGCTGATTGCAGCCTCCAGTCGTTGTAGCTTCTCACCAAATCCCAGCTCCAGGCGGTTGAAGCTTTCCTGCAAACTGTCCACACTGGTCTCCAGACTCTCTATACGCTCTTTGTGGCTTCCCATCGTCAACCTCGCTCTGATACCAATTGATAGACTTTTCTTTTGAGGCAAGAAAATAGCCTGTGGTTTTATTGAAAATTTCCTGCTCCCTAGTTCTGTATAACCTAGGTTTAAATACAAGAAGTCACTCAACCAATTCTCCTAAACTCCAGCAACCRTCTAWCCTATACTTTAGCAATATTCTTAGCCTAGTCAACAGCAACTGACGCAACCAATAGTGAGATATTCCCTCACTCGTTTATTTGATTCCTACTCATTTATTTGACTCATTCTTAAGCCTAACAGCTAGCAAATATACATGGCCATGCATCCTGCACTTCATGCAACGTAGTCCTGATAACGTGGATTCTTGGCATGGTTCTTTGCTGACCTTCTCCACGTATCATAACCACCCCAATTTCACTTGCATTCACTTGAATTCAAGACATTATTTATCTAGTAAAATAAATACTTGGATGCATCTCTTATTCAGATATGAAAAGTTAATATAACACCCATGCAGTACTTTTGGAGGCTGCTAAAACCGACAGCAAAGGAAAATTTTTCTTGCACAGAGAGATTATAAGGCATGCCAGGCTGCATCAAGGAGATATCCATCAAGAAGCTTTGCCAAGCTAGGGGCATTTGAATTTAAATCATATGTGAAAGGCCAAAAAAAACTCTCAAAACATTCACTAACAGTTGGATCTTGTTTGTTCAACGCTTCAACAGTGTTTTGAAAGCTTAATTCACTTGGGGTTGGACGGGCTTAGCACTGTTGCTGTCACCAATAGTTGAAGATCAGAATTTGAATTCGTGGGGAATTTGAGAACTTTCTCTATTTGATTGCCATCTTTTCGAGTTTGTTAGAGATGAAGAGACACCAAGTTTGCCCTTTTACTTTCTTATCCCCAGCTTCTTGCTCAAATGCGTGTTCTAATGGTTCTTCACTTGATTGTCGGTTTGACCTAGCACTCAGCCAGCGATTAGAGACCATTTATAAAATAAGCACCGAATGTTGTGAGTTTACCTATTTTACACCAAAAGAAACATCGAAGTCCATGATTTTGCCACTGGCAAAAAGGTAAAATGGGCATTTAAAAAAATTAATACATCAATCAAACATTTTCCATTTAGGATAGTGATGGAGGGGAGGTTTATGTTGAGTTTTTCAATAGTTCATGGGAGGTTTTTGTTAAAATGAAATTCAAGGAAAGGTTTTTATGATTGTGAAAACTTCAAGGGAGATTTTTGTATTTTACCCTTAATATTATAATCAAAATTATAAGAAATATATATTATTTAGATATTTATGTATATAATACATACAAACATATATATTGCTTTGCCTAGGATTTACACACTTGGTGTGGGTCCTGGCTGAGTCAAATGATCACCCCTATTTGAAGTGCATTTGAAAGACGTATAAAATGCTTAATTAGCATTGCTCAATATTAAGTTTAACATTCTCTTATTCTCAATATGTAGTATTTTCAATGTATTTTTTTAATACCTTATCTCATTGATTAGATTTAAAGATCAAAATATTTGGACAACCATCATTTATAAAAAAAAAAAAAAAATGGCATCATATAAAATGTGAAGCCAACGCAAGTATCAAGACGGCATTCTCCAGGAAATATCACTGGCAAATGCAAAACCCTTTTGAGCATTCACGCGCTGTTCCATCTCTCTCTCTCTTTGAAAAAAGTAACAATAACGTAATTGAAGAAAAGGAAGTTGCCAATAAAAAAGTAGCCTTCCTTTTCGTTTACCTGCCAAGGGAATTGACGGGAGAAGACGACTTTTACCATGTATCAATCGATCGAATCTGGAGAATATATAGCTCTTTAGCCACAAGCCACAACAGGGGGCGTAAAATGAGCGAATTACATTTACTTTACAAACAGTGCCATTTCAGTTTTCAGAATCTTCAACGACACGATATGTCAATGTCCGGATTCATCTGGATCCTCTATTCCATTGACCAGACTCCAGAGCAAATATCCTTAGAAATTTTCTAGTTCTGCAACCTTCTATTTTTCTTTTGTTTTCTATTAAACCAAACACAGATTTAAATTTAAGGTTAATATTTAATAAATAACCTTCAAGAGTTAAATTCTATATCCTTAAAAATTTTCATCATTTAATTATTTTAACAAGTAAAAAAACAAAGCACAAAGTGTTTAAATTCAACAACTTCTCCCCAAGTCAATTTTTAATGGCACCGTGGATTGAAATTTGATTTACTTGCGTCGGACGCTAGTCGTAGAGCTATTAATAAAAGTTCAAAGTTGAAAAATTTGGAGATTAATTAATAAAAAAACAAGCACGAAGCAACTTCGTTTTAAGGCCCACAGCCATGACAGATTTAATTGAGGCCCAGGCCCACATAACATTAGAGTTCTTTGGATTATAGGTGGAACTTCAGACCACCGTCCACATATTTTACTTGAAAATCACATTTTTAGAGCTGAATTTTTATCCAGTCAACCTCCAAGTGGGATCCATTGAATTGGACCATGTCTAATATTTGGCACGGGCTGATGGGCAGTGGGTCCCGAACGCAAGACCGCATTTTGGCGTGTCTTTCGCACTTAAACATCAACACTTCCACAGAGTACAGAAAGCTTCCTATATCTAGTGAGCAACGCGTATATACGCCCTCGGTCCTTCTCTTGACCATCGGACGATCAGAAAAACAAGGCCTCGTTTGGTATGTCTTTTTTCATATGGTTATGAAAAGGTTTAACTGTTAAAACATGATGTTTCGAAAAAAATGCATGAAGCCCATTTTTAAGTTAATCTCGAATTTTTTTAACTTTTATATTATATATTTATATTGAAAAAAACACGTCTTAACTAAATGGTTCAAACAGCTAAGAGCTAATATCTTAATACAAAAATTCACGTCCTAGCATCTTTTAAGTATGTGTTTGGTATTGTTTATATTTATTGAATAAATGTTTGTACTTTATTTATTGATAAAGTACAACCGAAAAATGCAATAATTGCACCCTTTTTATAACAATTGAGCGCCATTAAACGCTACTTCTTGTAACAGTGAATAAACGCCTGGATGAGGCCACTTCAACATAAAAAGTGAATAAACGCCTGGATAATGCCATTTCAACATAACAGTGAATAAACGCTTGACTGTTTGTGAAAGCTTCAAAAGTAATTTCTATAAATGACTGGCATGCACATAAATCAAAATTCAATTTTTACATTTTTGATATATGCAAAAAAGCAAAAAAAAAATGATGAGATAACATCAATAAACGATACCAAACATCACCTAAAAAAGGCTTACAAAGAAAATGAACCCGAGGTCTCTAAATCTCTAGTCTCTACCTGGAGTGCCCTAATGTCATCAACGCGCAAGCCACAACAACTTCCAACGTCTTTCCAACTAACGCGTAACCTATTAAGATACTTCTTTATCCTATTCCTTGCGTTGCGTGCCATCTGGACACAGTTCTACTTCTACACCGTCCATTTCATGTAAGAGTAAAACTGTCTCTCTCTTAATTCTCCCGTGTGGATCAGTTGCCAAGTGTCAAGAACAAATTTGCATAGGCGCCTCACAGATCGCATCCCACTCGCAATAAGTCGACTGGAATCTACTCCTCACACTAGGCACTTCGCAACGACATCATAGCCACATCCCACGATACATTGAAAACATCTTACATAAATAATAACATATAAATACTGAAAATGTTTTCAATATACGGTGGTATGTACCTGTGAAATCGGTGTGAGGCGCCCTGAGGAGCAGATTAGGTCTCCCATCCCAGCGTGTACACTTGTTAGGCGCGTAATGTATCGTACATAGGTGGCACAAAAACGTTGACGTGCCTAGCTAGCAAATCCGAACCAACGGGCGTTGGTTGGTTGAGCGAACCGTATATTCAAGAACGTTGATGGAAATGGAATACACACTTGAGGGGAAAAAAAGAAAATGTATAGAGATAGATATAAATATATTAAAAATGGAAAGTCGTGTGAAAGTGGAGCCTGGCTTGCCAACTAACCATACCTACAACTGCCACGCTTTCGTCTTCACATTCATAGCGGACCTTGAATGGACTGGTGAGCTACAAAAGTCGTCGACCATCCTTCAACAGTTCAACTCCCTGTGTTGTTTCTTCTCCAGGTGCGAACGAGTTTCATTTCTTCATCTCTTCTATTACTTAAAGTCTTCTACCCTATAGTTTACTAGGGTTTCTTTCTTTCCTTCCTCTCCTTCGTCGGATGTCTGCTTTCCAGGGTTCTTGAAGACTTATTTAGTAGTTTCTTTCCCGACAAGGCTCCCCTAAGCCATGGCTTCTTTCTCTACCTGTAAATTTTTATTGTTGTTGTTGTTGTTTTTGTTGATCTTCGCGCTCGGTTCGCAGACTTGTCATGGCTTCGGGACCTTCGGCTTCGATATTCATCACAGGTTCTCCGATGCCGTCAAAGAAATTCTCCCCGTCGACGACTTGCCAGAGACGGGAAGTCTCGAGTACTACTCCGCCTTGACCCATCGAGACCGCTTCATTAGAGGTCGTGGACTTGCTAGCAACGATAATCAATCTCTCACTTTCGTCAACGGGAACACCACCTTTCGTATAAGTTCCTTGGGATTGTATGCCTTCTCCATCCCCTTATTCAGTTTGTTTTCTCTGCTTAATCCACAATTCTCAGTCCCTTTGATGCGTTGATAATTTAGTAATAGTTTGGTCGTCTAAGCCTCCAAGTTCTTTTTTTTTTTAATTAAGAAAATTTGCTTATTGGTTCTTTAATGTGTTTTGGAATTCCAGTTTGCATTATGCCAATGTTTCATTGGGGACGCCGAGTTTGTCATATCTGGTCGCACTTGACACGGGGAGTGATCTGTTTTGGGTTCCATGTGATTGTGTCAGCTGCGTTGATGAATTGATCTTCAGATCGTCCGGAACTGTATGTTGTTCTATCTTCCTGCTACTTCTGTTCCATCGATATATTACAGACCGATGACTTTTTTAGGGAGAGGTAGACAATTTAGAAATGGGGATAAAGCTGGATTGTTCTAATAAGTTTTTGACTTGTCTGAAAACCGGATAAAGTTTCATCAGTTCCTCTTGTTCGAATACCTGATACTGTTTCTTCACTTCACAAGCCTTTCCCCTGATTTCTGGATAAGATTTATTCTGCTCAAGGATGACATTTGTGTTTATGATCTTAAGTAAATCATGGTTTACCTTGGCCCAAGTATTTAACAAACTTCGAAAACAAAATTTAATGTGTATTAAACTAATTTTTATAGAGATACTGGATTTGTTTATATTCAATTCCAATGTTTGAGTACTTATCTCCCATCCAAGGCTAAAGCCATCGCCCGTACTATCAATTGTATGAACTGCCATGGCAGAATGCTTTTATTCTCTTTTAGTCATATGATATCCCTGTTTGGGAGTGTTTATTTGATAAATAAGTGCACATCTTAATAAGCACTTAAGAGTGTTTGGTGAAAAAGAATATTTCAAACGGGGTAGGATAGGTATTTTCAAAATGACATGGTGGACCAAGATGGGCCAAAAAGGAAATAAGCGCTTAAAAATAAGTTCAAAATGTGGGCTTCTTGAATAAGTGTGGTCCCGACCCAAAATAAGTGCTTATTCAAATAAGCACTCCCAAACATGGGCAAAGTCCCATACAACTGGATATTCACAGAATTAAGCACCTTAATAATGGAGTGTATACATCTTTGAGGGCTTGATACCATGTACATGGTGATTATTTCTCCATATGTGGCTTTGGGTAGCCATGAAGATATGCTTGGATGCATCAATTTTTGCATTTCAAAATAGTGTACATCTAAATAATGGGACAGGTCACATGTAGAAACCAATGAAATGAAATAAATTCTTTGAGAAGTAGTTCTATGTTCTTTCAATGTGATTGGTCTCTATATTTTATTTTATTTTATTTTATTTTTATGGGAAGTGGTAAATTTGCCTAATACACTGCATTCAATCTCAATTTCTCACAAGAGCACCAAATAATTCACAGCCAGTAAACAGTTTTATTTATTATAATTCTGCATTGAAAGCTAGCTCTAATGCTGGTTTTCCTTTTTCCAACTAGATTCACAACCAATAAGAATAGTGCCAAATAGATTCTACTCTTTAAAATTCACTATTCTGTAACCACAGTGCTGTCTTCCCTAATTAACTTGTATGACAACAGGTGCTAAAGTTCAACATTTACAGCCCAAATACATCAACAACAAGCAAAAGCATTTCCTGCAACAGCGGTTTGTGTGAAAACGCAAGGGGGTGCTCTGGAACACCAAACAGTTGTCCTTATGAAGTTGTGTATCTTTCTAACGGTACTTCATCTGCTGGCTATTTGGTGGAAGATGTTTTGCACTTGACAACAGACAATACCCATCCAGAAGTTGTTGATGCACGGATCACATTTGGGTAGGTTAATGTTCCCATTTGTTCACTACTGTCTGCTGAAAAGTTCCTATTGGGATTCACCTTCATTTTTTAATGGGATGGTTTGTCTATCTTTCTTTAAAATACCTTAAGGTCCATTGCTTGGTGTAATGGTAAAATCTTGGGTGGACAAGTGTGGGAACATGGGTTCAGGTCTGAGAGCGGCCACTTAGTATGAAAATGCCAAAGGTTATGCCCATATCCAGTCCACACTTCCCAAGGCCCTGGTAGCCGGGGTGGTGTTCCTTTTTGGTTTCCATACTTTAGGAACTTATCTAGTTTTAGACATCCCTTCCTCACCTTTTTTCCACTGTTATCCTGTCTGTCTTATACTCTTTTTGCTAGTTACCAATGTCTGTCTGATAGTGTCACTTGGATCGTGCAGTTGTGGTCAGGTTCAAACAGGGTCTTTCTCGGATGGTGCAGCACCCAATGGATTATTTGGGCTTGGTATGGATAAATTATCAGTTCCTAGCGTTTTATCAAGTGCAGACCTTATTGCAAATTCTTTTTCCATGTGTTTTGGACCTGATGGGATTGGAAGAATCAGTTTTGGAGACAAAGGTAGCACAGATCAAGAAGAAACTCCATTCAATATTCACCAATCACAGTGAGTGGTCTTTTATTTGTTTGCATTGTGCTCATGGCATATGCCATACACTTCATTTAAATATTAGCATTCATTAGATAACATGATGGCCATACTGACTTCTCATGGAATTTATTGCCAGCCCAACATATAATATCAGTATGACTCAATTAATCATTGGGAAAGATGCTATCAATATCAATTTTAGTGCAATTTTTGACTCTGGTACTTCATTTACATACTTGAATGATCCAGCTTACACACATCTTACTAAAAGTGTAAGTATTCCAAATAATGAGTTTTATCATTAAGCCCATGGCCCCTAGCTTAGTTACATAAATGCAACTTTTGCTCTTGCACAGTTTGATGCTCAGGTCCAAGATAAGCGGCATCAATCTGATTCACAAACGCCATTTGACTACTGTTATGATACTAGGTAAATCATCCAGACTCTTTGCCTGAATATTTAACTGGTATCCATATTGTACAACCCGAATCTTGACTCTCTCAATCAATATGTAGTTTGGATGTTACAAGTATCACACCATCGACAAATATTGCAATACCAAATGTAACTCTAACCATGAAAGGTGGAAGCCAGTTTCCTGTTTTCAAACCCATAGTTCTTGTCTCATCCCAGGTAAGGCATCATTTGCCGTTACAACACTACCATATGTTGTAGGCTTGTAGCTAACTCATAAAATACTTATAATTTCATTCTCATGATGTGCAGAATATGGTTTATTATTGTTTGGGTGTTGTAAAGAGCTCAGATGTGAATATCATTGGTCGTAAGTATTCCTGTTGTAAATCATGCTCACATACTTGCTATAAATATTCTAAAGATTGCTTAAGGATGAAAACCAGGAGTTTGGTTGTAAATGTTGATTCCAGATATTGCTTAGATGTGAATAATATCATTGGACCACTGAGTACTGACAGGATCAGAGCAAGATGGTGGCCAAGGGGGTGACCCCCCCCAAAAAAAAAAAATTCCCTCAAAAGGGGGAGGAAAAAAAACATTTTATGCAAAACTCTATATGTGCTATATTACAAGCTAACCACTAAATATTTTCTTATTAATTACAAGCTAGCTCTTCAAAATTTTTTTGGTTATCACTAGCTCCCTCCCAACAGGACATCAATGAAATGGTGTGAAGTTCCCTGTCATGCTGGTTATGCTTTGTTAAATGAGAATCCTTTTTGGTTATGTGATTCATTGGTAGTGCAAAGTGTTAAATATAGACTTATAATGAATTGTTTTATACAATTTTGATCATGAAGATGGATTATATGCCATTATGACAGCAAAAGTAGTACATTTGCATTGGGAGTTTTTAAACTTTGTTATTTAGAAAAACATTGGAGAAGGAGAAATATTGAAATCTCAAGTGCCCAAGTCACCTGTTACCTAGGCATCCTGATAACGTTTCACCATTGATCTGTTTTTGGCAATGTTATTGCTGGTCTTATCCATGCTGTTTTGTTGCCAACTGTGTCACCCTAGTTGAACTTTCACTGAACCTCATGCTTCACCACTCCTATAATAGTATAAACTTTTATTTTGTCACAGATAATTATTAGTTGCTTGATATGCTTTTCTGCTTCATATTAGTAGTTGGCTGGTTTTTTTGAGTTTGTACTTCCAAGCACTTCAATATCTTGCACCAATATTTCCATTAAGAACTGTTCATAGCCTTACATAGTTTTTTTTTTTTTTGATAATCAACAAGAAGCCTTGCATAGTAATATTGATCTTAATGCAGAAAATTTTGTGTACTTTCAAGCACTTTAATATCTTATACCAATGTTTCCATTAGGAACTGTTCATAGCCTTACACAGGAATATTGATCTTCATGCAGAAAATTTCATGACTGGGTACCGTGTAGTATTTGACCGTGAGAAGTTGGTTTTAGGTTGGAGAAAGTCCAATTGTAAGTATTGTTCTGTTGTTGCAGTATCATTTCTCTGTGCCTAAATGTGGATGTTTGTACAGTTCTAACTAATAACAATATATAATTACATTGTCCCCCAGGTTACGATGTTGAGGAATCCAACACCTCACTAGCAAATACTCGAAACTCTACTGTAGTGCCTCCTGCTATTGCTGTTGAACCAGGTAGCTTCACTCCTGAAGCCACAAGAAACACTGGAATTGGTGCAAATACTTCAGGGGCATCACCACCTATATGGAGCGGAGCTTTATTTCTGAGCCTCTTCAGTTGTGCTTTCTTGTTTCATCTTCCATCCTTTCCCATTCTTTAATCATTCTTTCATTAGGCTATACTCAGATTATTTCATTGTATGTTTTTAGGCGAGGCAGTGTACCATATTTATTTATAGGTCTCCCCAAAGTTCCAATTTCAAACCAGTATAGGGGCATTTCTGGTTGTCATGCCCTTTTCTTTCTGGGTAGAATTGTGATTCGAGGAGTATTGGTTCATTGAATCACTTTCCTTCCCGCCAGATTGTTTTGAAGTATTTGTTGTAAATATGATTAATAATGAGTTCCTTGTATTTATAAAACAAGTTTCACGTGAGTAAGTATTGGACTGTTTTAAGTGTTGAATTTGAATGTCGCAGGTCTATAATTGTCTGCTTTTTTCCCTTTCATTCTTCATGGTGGTTGCTCCATTTTCTTTGCTGAAACCTGAATATCTGCCCGTTAGAATAGGTTATGACAAAAACAATTCAGTTGGCTTTGCAACATGGAATATGCTTGATCTGAAACATACGTCGAAGCAGACTATAGGTCTCTGCGGATCAGTGCGTGGTTAGAAATCCCAAAGCCACTTGTTCACTGTTGACTTTTTAGCCGTCCTTGTGTAATGTTAGCTTTTTGGTCGGCTATGTATTTTATCACACTATCAGGGTCTGCTTGGTTTGCAATCCGGATCTGAATTCGAATCAGAATCAAAATCTTTCAGAATCGGAATGGAAATGGTTTTATTCCCATTCTGTGTGGTTCAGACAGGAAGTGGAATCAGCTGGGGTGGGATTTCATTCCCGGGGAAGGGAATGGTCATTCCACCATGAATGGAAATGGGATTTCGATTCTGTCTAGTCAAATAGTTGAAATCAGACTCCCATTTCAATTCTGATTTCAGACTCCCACTTAACTAGCCAAGTGGAAAAGGGATAAACGGTGCTTGGCTGATGGGTTGATTGGCATGCAAGATGTTTGGCACCAATGTGTTTCACAAGACTCGCATTTCACAGGCATTCCCAATTTACAATCGTTTTGGTTTGCCTGTTTGTTGAAAAAACACCCAAAAATATATATCATGTTTGGTGGGGATGCATACTGACGGTGACTTTTGACTTGTTTTTCATAATAACTAGCACAAAGATTTCTCATGAGAAGGCAAGCACACAGGACTTCCACACTGGATGATATGAAAGTTCCACCCATAGCCACTCAAATGGTTAACTAAACAATATACCATTGAGAAGTATCACAATATTTGAAGACAACCGAAGTAACAAAAGAATTCTTTCGGCCAATTTTCAAAACCCCCGTATAAAAACTTCTCATTATATTTTTTTTGGGACAATGAATTGGTTGCATATTGAGATGCATCTTAATCGGGAAGGGTTAAAATCACAATTCATTTGATGTATTTCATAATTAATATAAAGGGTAAATCTCTTAAACTATCTCTATTATTCATGAAATTGACAAACTGTACTCTTACTTCTTAGATATTGTCTTGCTGTACCCTTTAGTTTTCTAACAATTGTCATCATCAGCAAGTACTAATAGAAGGAAATAAAACGTCAAATTTGCACTTCACAACTTATCAAAATTTTAAAATAAAACTCAACTGACTGTATAGAAGGATTCATTCGTGATTTCCAATGTTAAATCTCGTCCAGATGCCACCGTTGTTGTTCTTCCACACCGTAGGTTGTTTACAAAAATTTGTATAGACCTCGGCTCTCAGCTTTGTGCAAAGTACCCATCCTCTCCCACCGCCACCAGCTTTCACTTTTATCGCCTCTGCCATGACAAATAGCAGCCTTCACATTCGTGCTCTCTCTCTGGAAAGCTTCTACTCTTATATTGTTTGAAAAGCTTCTTTATCAACCATCATCCATCTTCATATTTTCTTCTACTTCTTTAACTGGCTCAAAAAGCAATCTGCTCCAGAGCTCACACGCCCTGTGTGAAGAGCAGATCCCACCTTGTTTATGGACCAGGCTCGGGCTTGGCTTTTGGAAAAATTTGAATGGAAGTCGAGCCCAAACCCGGCCTGTGAGGAGGTCCTTGTGTGGCTGGATTATGGTATTCTCCGCCGGTTTCTCCCCTAACAACTCTTCACCTCTTCTATTTCCCTTCCTTTACCCTCTGCTCTCCCCACTGGTTACCATCAACCTCTACCACCATTAGCCTGCGTTGTCGTCCTTGCAACCAACTGACGCCTCTCTCTTTCTCTCTCTCGGTATCTCCTGTTTTGCTGGTTTTCTTCTGCAACAACCCCACCATTAGAGAGAAGCCGTAGAGAAGATGTCTTTAGCCAAGTTCCCGATACCTCAGCTTTCTCTTTATGTTATTTGACAAGTTTCTCTTAGCTTGAGCCACATTAATTGCAACCCAATGTCTTTTCTCCCACTCTTCTAACCATGTACAGCTGCTTTTGATTCTACATTACATCCAAAAGTAGATATTACAGTGTTTGAGATTTTGCTGAAGAAGGGAAGTCGACGAGACTAGTTGGGCCCAATTCAATTCATTTACACCTCCACACTCCAGTACACCACCCACAGCCTCTTGACGAAGAGGAAAGATGCCAGGCTTCACCAAAATGTTGATTCAGCAGCGGCGTCTCCGTCACCTATCAAACGTCGTCTCGTATATAATTTCTCTCTGATGTCGGCCCTGGCTTCATAGTTTCTCTCTGATGTTGGGATACAGAATCAGGAAAGGAACTGAAAGCAAGTTCTTCATCCCTTCCGTTCTCTCTCCCTTGTTTCGTCCATAGTTTCTCTCTGACGTCGGCCCTGGCTTCATATTCTCGTTAAATAAGGAAAAACGTATATATTCAAATCATAAATGTTCTTTCGCTGCTTTGATTGATCGGGTCAATAAAGTGAAGTTTTACGATGCAAATCCTCGAGTGCTTCATGCATTCACGAATTCCGATGTTGAATTCGTCGTGGACTCAGAACAGAACAGAAGCTTCATTTTTCTTGGGAGGCTTAGCTTCTCACCAAACTTTTGCCGTTGGTAAGTTGCAGTGGCCGCCATCACCAGCGACAAGAATACCAAAATCACCTTCACATGTGAATGAAGTGTGATATAAGAGAAATTTTAAACAAAAAATTTACCCTAATATAAATTGCTTGTTTAGAAAAGAAGTATGGAAACTGATGATCGATTAAACAACGAACCTTCCAGCACCTCAAGAAATTGGCAATACATTGAAATAATACTTTTGTTTTGACTAATCATTAACTAATACCCGGATCGGACAAAGTGACTGTACAAAATTGGTGACATGAGCAGAGAGCTTCCTCTCCCTCAAACTGATTGAACTGATTTTATAATTTTCACTTTAGATTAGATTGAAAGGCACTGTGCACATGTTCAGAGAAAGTGATATAGTGAAGTTGCTATATTGTAGAAGCCATTGGATGTTGAGCGAAGGAGAAAAAGGCAAAAAATCAATGAAGAAAACAACTAATGGTTACTATTAATTCTCTAGAGAGAGACATGCACCTTCTCCAAACAAAACTAGCTAAAACTAATAAGAGTTATTTCATCAACATAGAAAAATAATAAGTTTCTTTAAATTCTTGATTGTTAATCCATGTGTTTTGAGGGAAGGGGTGGGGGCATAAGTTCACTTAACACTATATTCCATCACTTTGGATACAAGTAAAATAAACACTAAATAAATTAGTAAAAAAATAGGTGGAGATACTTTTTTTCCTTGATAATGTAGAAGTATAACACTATTTTAGCACTTCGGTCATCTTAGATGTCAAACTTGTTTATGAGCCACGATCAGCTCCAAATAGAAAAGCGAAGAAACAGTAGATTATGATGAATCAATTTTTTGTGCTAATTACATCGTTATTCGGTCTACTTCCAAGTGGTCGATGATTCAGAGGCCGAAGTGGAGAATTTTGCTGGCTGAGGACCTAAATGTCGAGTTGAGCAGGCCGAGTTGGGAGTGGACTAGGTGCCGAGCTGACCAGAGGATCGAGGGCCGAGCTGCATATTAGGTGCCGAGCTAACCAGAGGGTCGGGCTGCATATTAGGTGTCGAGTTGACCGGTGGTGAGCTGGATTGATTGTTGAGCTTCATAATTCTTTAGACCTGCAAGGAATCAATGTCAGAGAACCTGGGGTGGCTAACCCAGCGAGGTCGCTCCGATGCTTAAGTCAATACTCTCATAGTAGACTGCGAGTTAAAAATCACAAAGTATGAGAGCTAGAATATGCTTACTTCCCCCCCCCCCCTATGCCATTGGGGTTGGTGTCTTTATATAGGCATTGTTTGGCCTGGGCTTCATGCACCACATCCGAGATTTCTGCGAGGTCGTCTAAGTGGTTCGAGATTCCCGGAGGCAACCACCATGCACGTTGACCACCCTCTGGAACGTTTGGTATGCGGGCCAACTTCCAAGGATCATCGGAGTGTTGGGATATGCATGCCAAATTTATCGACGAGCACACTTCGCAAATCACCACCTGGACCTCAATCAAGCCAACACACCCTCGAAGGAGGTCGCTCCTTGCGTCGAGGTCACTTCGGCTAGTGATGAGGTGTTGTAGGTCGGCCCTGGACGAGGTGCTTCTAGCCGACCTAAATTGTGGTCCAAGTCAGCACCTGTGCCAAGTCACCAGGTCGCTAGTTCGGCGCCTGTGCCAGGTCGCCAGGTCGCTAGTTCGGCGCCTATGCTAGGTCACCAGTTCGGGACACCATCATCTTGGCTAAGTTGTTGCCTAAGTGGTTTCGGGTGTCACCTAGTTGTTCCGATATGCCACGTGTCACAATGTCATTCGAGGGCCAAATCCACCCTCATCAATTGCCCCCCACTCCCGAGCTGAAAGTAACTCGGCAAAGGGAGTAGATTGCTCCTTTTGGCCTGGAATGACTAATTCGATGAGCTCGTGATGCGTTTAGATTACACTAGCAAGTGCACTAGCCGATCAAGTAATATACTGATGAGTAGAGTATCATTCCCACAGGGATTAATCCAACAACTACTAGTACTAGATCTGCCTTATGTTATCTGACAGTCCGAAATCTAAAGACTGATTTCCTAATTAACGAGCTATCCCAGGTATTCTCGGATTAGACCACCTTAAGGAATTAGAGAAAGTGTTTCACAAAAATGCTAGCAAAACCGATTCAACAATTATATCATTAAGCTATCCAACCGAAGTTGATTTCAGCTATGGGTTGGCTATTTCCTAATTGCATGAATAGCCTCTTTCGAGCACATACCCATCTATCTACAAGCAACAACTCTTATATTTCTATCAAGAATTTAATTGCTATAGATGCATTAAAGACAAGGAAATCGAAGGAAGTCAATTATTGATGAATGAATGCCAAACGAATCA